CGCAATAATGCTAGGAAATAGATTTTATTTTTTTGGTATGAAATATATATAGATTGATAATTTATCTATTTGTGATTTTTGTAACTTAATTGTTTTTCAATATACTTAAACACTTTTTGATTTTAAAACTTTCTTTTTTGGGAAACTCTAATTTTTGAAATTTGTTCATTTCTCTGGGTTTTTTCTCTCTAATAAAATATTTTGAAGAAGTTCAAAAAACTAGTGTTACCTGTTTTCAGCCCAAAACTAACGAAATGAAAACATTTATGAAATTAGACCCACAAGGTCTAAATTTAGACCATTTAATTTATGACAGAATCAGTTTCTAATTTATGACCACCCTAATATTTAACAGATTTATTCTATAAGCGTTCAATAAACAATCAAACAATTGTTGTTTGTCATTTAGAACTAAATTTGAAAACAGGTTCCAGTATAAATAGAATCCTTACATCTTTTCACAAGCAGCTTTAATAATACGCCGTCCTAAGGAAGAAGTCAAATAAACTTCAAAGTGACGGAATATTTATTTAGATAGTGACTGCATAAAAGAAATGATACTAAAAAAATGAACTCGTAACAAAGCTCTAATCTAAGTGAGTCCAAATATTTTCTTGTCAGGAACTGTCATTCGCTCTCCTTTGTTGTTATTTAATATATGTGAAAACAAAGATACTTTAAACATTACAAATAAACATATGGAAGATGATAAAACGATGTACAACTATTACTACTATTCGATCAATGTCAGTGTATTCAAAGCAATATAATTACGATCATGCGCCAGTTAACGATGTAACTTTGTTAACGATTTTTTTACTGCTTATTGGCCTTTTAAAACTTTCTCATGAGTACCTTTAAAGTAGCGATTAGCTACCTAACTGTCCATTTTGTTATAGTCCGCCATAGTAATGGTAATAGTAATGCTTTATGAGTTGGGCTTAGACTTTTATGCACTAGGATGAGCTTGATCTATTGTGCATCTCTTTGTATTTCGGAGAGATCTTTCGAAACTCTTCATTCTTCAATTGGTATGGACCTAAAATTTTGTATTTTCTGTTGTCTAGTACATCACAGTTGGTGATCAGATGTTCCTTAGACTCTTCCTCGTCACAGCAGAATCTGTAAATATTTGTGTCAGATATACCTATTTTGTGTAGGTGTTTATTGCAAAAGGCGTAGCCTGTTAGTGTATCTGAGAATAATTTTAGACTCTTCTTGTTTAGATTGAGAATAATGTCTGGTCTTTTGGTGTCAAAATTTAAAAATCTTCTAGAGTGATTTAGGTCATCTGTGCCATTCCAAAATTGTGTGAATTTTTTGTTGTGTCCATTTTTTGGTTTTGTGTTGTTTTTTTTAAAGCCAAAAAGGGGGTTGGACCGATGAATGATTCTTTTGCCCCTTTTATGACATTAGGGCCCGCCTTTTCATTGTTTTCGTGTGCTTTATGTTCGAGTACCCAAATCAGAGAGACCTGTTCGTAGGTGGCCAGCTGATTGAGTGCATTGTTGCACTCCATAAGGATTTTTGATGTGAATTATAGCCTACCTTATATAGATCATATATTAAATGATTGCTTTACTTTTGATTCTATTGAAAAATATATATTTTTAAATATTATACCTACTATCCCTGTTAAATAAAGTTACTATTGAAAATATACTTTTCTAATATAGTCAATAAAATTTAATTTATAATATACGAGGTGAATGCATTGCTAGCTAGTGCTCGTTTTAGTTTTAGAATTTTATATATTGTATTTAATTATAATAAATAAATAAATAATAATAAACTACATGTTAACAATTTATATATGACAATGAGTACTTAAAAAATCAAAAAATTTTGCGTTTCTTAGTTGTTCTAGGCTTATAAAACAAAAATAATTTTATTTATATATTTTCCAATGGATTAATTGGTCAATAGTTTAATTAAAACACAACTTTTTAAGTTATTATAAAAATGATTTATTTATTTACTTTATTATTTATTTTTTTTGTATATTAATTATTTAATTTAATTATTTTATTATCACCAATGTTTTAACTGTAGTCTATAGTTATTTTCGGGGAAACTGATATAATTTATTTATGATATATATTATTAATATATTCGAGAAAGAATTAAAAAAGAAGTTTTCGAAAAGTTGTGAGCTACAACAACAAAAATTCTATTTTATATTATTTTAATTAATTAAATTTTTGGCTGACCATACGGCTGTTTCGAATATTGGCAAATATTCATCATTAGTGATCTTGGAATTATTTCTTGTATTTAATTATTCGTAAATAATTTTTTGAGATTGTAAGTACCAGAAATCCACGAGTTTGATTTCTGGTACTTTGATACCCTGCCAAATTTTAAATTGAAGAAATAATTATAAAATACAGTGTTTTATCTAATTGACTATCTAATTGTTTTATCAATTTATCAATTGACCAATTTATCCATTCGAAAATATATAAATAAAATTTGGTCATTAAGGCCGTGTGCAAGTTCAAGTAAATTGAGGTAAAGTAAATTAAAATTTCCTAGCGATTTTTTGCACTGCACTTATGTAAATATTTACTTATTTATTTATTGCACTCATTTATTATTTTTGGTTAAAAGTTTTCAAATTTATTTATTTATTTATTAAACATCTTATAATATTTTTATAATCGTAACATCCAATTTACATAATTTTTATCTAATTCACCCTACTAGAAATACCGACATTCGCTGGCATACCGATATAGTTATCTTTTTCTCTCAATTTACCATCAATTTACTCGAACTCGCACACGGCCTAAAACAATAAGTTTTGAAATAATTTTAACACCATAAAAGTTTATATATTAATATATATTCATATATATAGTATTTATATTAATATATATTCAATATTTATATAATACATATATATTAATATAGATACATATATATTAATATATTTACATATAGATTATATATATATATGTATATATATGTATATATATATCAATAAATTTATCGTAATAAAATGAGAATGTCTTTTGATATAAAAACTTGTGGCAACACTAAAATTTTCATTCATTTTGTTTTCATTTTCATACTATGTCCGTTTGTTGATAAATTTTACGGTAAAAAGATAAAAGGAAAAATCAAATTCACCCTTAAGGCAATGACATACTCGCAAACTTGCAGATGTGGAAATTAATTTAGTGTGCCCAACCACCCACTGAACATGTACACTCACAGACACACGCACACTAGCCAAACAGAGAGACACATAACAAAGTTACTCTCATCATAAACGCACACATTCATAGACAAATACAGTTAAGCAACAAAGTTGTACACGCAGACACATAAAACATTTGCAAAGCACAACAAACCGTAAAGCATCCTGCGAAACAACTTACAGCGCGGAATGTGGGTCCGCATAAACCAAATTTCGATTTATGACCAACACATGGAAAATGAACGTAAGTAATGAGTATGAGCGCGAGAGCATGCATAATGTAGACAATGTAGACTGTGTAGACAGTGTAGACGTAAAAGGAAGGCAAGGATATTATGGTAAGGAATCGTTCGTTCGTTATACACGGCGCTACAACGACAAACAAAGAAAGCAGCATGAGCGGGAGTCGAAGCAGGAGCACTGACGTTGGGTGGCAAATAAACTTTCGCACTGACAGCAACTTTCAGCCAACATAAATAAAAAAGTTTTTCATTCCGACGACTGCGAAAACGGCGAATGACACGAAATACCGAAAGAAAAAATCTAGTCACGGGGAGTAAATCTGTGAAAAATTGCAAATTTTTATAGAAAAAATTCAATAAAATGCCTATGGTATATTAAAAAATAATAATATAAAGTGCGTGTGGTATTTATTTTTATATTTCAAATATTTCAAAAGCGTGTGAAGTGTCTATAAAATGAAAATATGATGTGCAAAAATTTATAAGGAAGCAACCAACCACATTGAAGTGAAAGGATAAAAAATTTTTTGTTCTCCACAACTAATCGACGACAACGGAAATGGTTGCGTTTCCAACGCGTACAGACTGTAACGCGTTATTCGACAAAGGTGACACTGGAATATAGAAAGAAAACAATTAAAAATTGTTTTATATTTTTCAAGGAATAAGACAGGCTCAATAAACGTGCATATCCGGTTTTGTATACGTAAATGGGCGTTGTACCCACAACGCTAGTCCCTTAAACAATAATTTAAATTTTGTCTAATTTTAAATAAGTGAACCTTTGAAATTCATTCCAAGCCGGAAGTGCAATCCAATGATCAGTTTCACTAAAGTCTAACCAACAATTTTCAGGGAGTGTACCAAAGAAACAAAAAAAAAATTTATACAACGACAAAGCAACTTTGCACAAAGTCCTGTGTTGAGTACGCCGCGGCGCGTCGCGGATCGAAACGTCGCGGGTGTAGATATACAAAAAGGAAAACAACAGCAAGAAAGAATAATGCGAAAAAATTTCGGAATTGAAATCTCATATGAGAATTGTGTTTTCTGTGTGTAACTATGTTGTGAAGACAAGGGGGGCAGGACGAAGAAAACTAACAAAGAAAACGAAAACAAAAATACTGAAACAGAAGCTGAAGCAGAAACAGAAACAGAAACATTAAAAACCAAAAAGTAAAAAGTAAAAAGTAGAAAGCAAAAGATGTCAGCTTCCTCCGAGACTAGGATATGTGGAACTATTCGCAAGGGGTAAAGTGAGGAAACTACGGAAATATACAAAAGTATTTTCACTTGAATGGGTAAAGTGAAAAAACGAAAAAAAATAAATGAAATAAAACATAAAAATAAAAAATAAAAATAAAACAGAATAAGTGATAAAATATTTTTTGTTATGCGAGCGAAATAATAAAAAAGAAAAAAAAATTAGCAAACTTTGGAACGTAGTTTTGGAAGTGTGGGGAGTAAGTGGTGGTGGTAATAAATTTAGCAAAAAAACAAAAAAAAGAAAAACAAAAAAAAATTTGTTTACATATTAATTCTTTCTTCCATTCAGTGATTTAGTAAAAATATTAAAAATTTATTTTCTAAAACAAAACGAAATGTCCAAGTCGAACGCCGATTTTAGTGCGTTCGACTTTAATGACAGTTCCGATAATTCCGATATACAAACACGTGGTCCCTACCTAAGTCGTGCCAGTCTTAGCAATAATTCCTTAGTAAACAATAACACCAATAACTCAGCCAGCTCCTCGTCCAGTAACAATGGCAACTCAAATGATTCACAGAATCTTAACAATGTGGGCGGTACAAATGATGAGCACGGCATTGCCGGTGGCTCACAAATTGATACCGATATCCGTGAACATGATGGCGACATTAACGGGAACAATAGTAACGATGGCAATTCAACTATTGGCAATGGTACGCATACGAATGCAAATAATACCGATGGTTTGTTAATGGGTGCTATGGGTCCACATGGTGGCACAATCAACACAGCAGCCGGAACTGTTAGCAATGCTATGGAATCCAATAATAGTAATTGTGCTGTTGCTGGGTTACTTGATGGTGCACTCGGTGGCAGTAGTAACAATTGCAATAATGAACTCGTTCGCAGCAGTAGCGCTAGCTTAAGTAACAACAGTACATCTACCAATCATGGTGGAGGCACTGGCGGTGGCCTAGGTGGGGGTGGCGGTGGCGGTAGCAGCTTATGTAGTGTTGGTGGAGGTTCTGTTGCTGGTTCTACTTCGGCGAGTGAACGTAAAAAATATCGACATCAGAATTACAGCAAAAATATTTATATTGGCACAAAAAATGCAGAAAAATGGGAACACACACGTTCACGTTTGCAGTTCAAAAACGACGTTGAGTTCGTGGCGTATCTTTTGAACTTGGCTGATAAGGATACCGAACGTTTAGCAAAGTAAGTAAATACTATGGAATTTTTATTTTTATTTGAAAATGAATTTTAATAATAAAATTCTATGAAAATTTTGGGAAAATTTTACAACATTGTAAATACAATTTTTGATTTTTTTTTGGAAATTTTGATACTTCATTTAAAAAAAAGAAAGCTTTATCTTTTCAAATTTTATACCTATGATACGAGTACAGCAAATGTACTGGCAATTTACCGGAATTATCAACATATCCATTTTCTCCAATGCAAGAATAGACACTATTACTTAAATAGGTTATAAGTGGGACTATTTCGAAAATTCTTCTCTAAGCACAACAGTTTATTGTTGGAATATGGTACGCGATAGGTAGAGTGCTCAGTTGTAAAAATAAATAGCAAGACAATGAAGGTTTCAAATACTAAGAAAAAAACCATATTTAAAAAACTTTACAAAAGTTTAAAGCTAAAAAAATTGAACAAATTAAAAAAAATGGATTTTAAATCACTATAAATCGAATCCTTCTTGAACTTAAATGGCCATAACAACCCGTTACCGAGTTTCGACCTAAAGCATATCTCTCCAGGCTCGTGTTTTATTAGACACTTGTTTTATATACGATTGTGATTAGTTAAGGTCAAAGTGCTATTACGCTTTTGAAACTTTCCCATCCAATTATTTCATTATAGATCGATATGTCGATAAAAATTTAATAATGTAATTTATTTTTGCTGAATGTATATAAAATCTTGGGGTGCTATCATATAAATTAGTTTATTACGATAGTATTTTCAAAGTGATTGATTTTGTTCTTGCTCTTACCAAAGATTATTTTATTAAATGGTAAAAATTGGAATTCAAACTAAACAAACAAAAATACTACTAAAACAATCTATAAGAATCTCATTTATCTCTACGGTATAGTTTTATAGACGCTATAGTGTCAAAACATTTCAGTCAAGCAGTACAGACTACATGAAAATGATCTTGAGAACATAAATGAGGAGGAGCAGTTTGACGTGATGAATCGAAACTTAACTTAGCATCGTGCGACTACTTACTTTCGGAAGATAGTGGTATTTTGGTAATTTTTCTGAATTAATTTTTAAGGTAACCAACTTTTACTGAGAATGGCCTTTTGTCTCTTTAATATCAGTTATATTACTAACTTGCTAGTCAATTTATACGATTATCATAATATAATTGGTTATAGAAATTGCTACTTTTATACAATTGAATTAATTTTAGTAGATTTAAACTTATAAAAAACTAATAATAAAATTAATTAAATGCTTATTACATAGTTCCTGTCATATAATATATGTGGATATAGAAATATATATCTGTAGTCAAAACTTCCAATTATCAATAAAAAAACTAACAAAAAATATGTACGTATTGCAATTTCTAAGATTTTTTTTCATTAGATTCTAATAAACACATCTGTTTACATTCTTTTTATAACCTTGATCTGAATCAATCATTCGATTTCGTCTGATCTATTTATAAACCTGCCAAATAAAGTAATAAAGGTATTTGAATATTGATATAGTAATAAAAGTAATGGAATATGAATGGTGAATATCCATTTTCAATATTAACTGAAAAAGAGCAAATCAGGTATACGAGTATACCGAAAATAATTTCTAATAATAATTATTTTATAGCTGAAATCATATATCGCTTTTCAAATCTGTAAATTTTCTTTAATTTTTGTGTCTTTGATGGATATTGATAGATCAAAATTCATTTTCTAAAAATGTTCGCTCATTTTGTGCTATATATATATAAATATATAGTACGGATTGTAACCAAGTTTATGATACACATCTAAATAATTAATAACCGTAATATGTACATGTTTTTTCACCAATTCAGCAAGCTATGAAATACTTTAATCCTTTCAAAACATTCTGAACCCATTACTTAGAGATGAAAAGTAGAAAGTAGAAATACAACCCAAAACTATAATCTCAGTCTTAATTTGTAAAATATCAGTAATCTGTTATCATATCACAAGGATGAATACGAATTTGCGAATTGGCTAAACTGATATTGAATTAATTGCTAAATATCTCCAACTTTTTTTAAAGGTTATGATGTCATAGTACTTGTTACCAAGTGTGCAGATTAGCAATAGGTAAATTGATAGATTTCTTAAAACCAGCTTTGTCGAAAACAAAACTTACAAGATATTAACTTATATGTGATACTAACTACTTATATGTGATTAACTACTTATAACTACTTATATGTGATTTTTATGACCTGATTTTTTCTTGATTGACCAAGAAAACGTTTTAGCCTTTCCAGTGTCACAGCTAGACTGCATAGCCAAACGAATCTGACGACAATATTAATATTCGAAATGGGGGCTTCTTAGCTAACTAGTTTGCTACTAGTTCCCAAGTTGTAGACGCATTCCTTAATAAGACTCTATTAACTTTTTTTGTAATTAATATCACTTAACTCTAGTTGGTATCGCTAAGCGTCTACGGATCATTGTGCGGCATACCCGTCTTAGAAATTATACGATTTTTTTTAAACTTTCTAATCTTTGAAAACACCGTTGGAATTCACAAATAAAGTTAATTTATATTACGGTGATTGAAAATGATTGCAGAAGGAGATCTTGTATGGAAGTGGATAACATATTTAATAGGAATATGTAGTATACATATTAACAGACAGTCAAACTGCTTTAAAGTTCTTGAAGTTCAATCCAATTTACATCTAGGGTAGTTTTTGATTGCTAAACATCTCTAAACGTGATGTCGAACGCTACTTGGCAAATTGCTAGGTCGACGAGCTAGCCAGTTAGAGTACTTCAGGTAATCACTCGGAATACCTAAATATCAGCGTACATCGTTGACATCATGTAAAATTTTGCTGAATTCTTTCTGAGTTGAAGAATTTAATAAATGATGGAAAAACTTAATGATATGTAGGCAGTTTTAAACTAGTTAGATTTGTTATTTTTAGAAGAAATCCAGCAATATAAAAAATGTAGATGCCCCGAAAAGATATTACTTTTATGGTCGGTTTGTTGACGAGTCGCAGTCGATTAGAGAACCATACTAAAAGATTGGAACTCCCTTCCATTTTTTTGTAGTTGTGGAGAGAACAATAAAGCAGTTCACATCTGCAATCTCCAGGACCTCTTTTTTCTCTCTAGTACCTTTCTCTAAAGAGCATATTAAGCTTCGGTGAAGGTTCAAGGTGATTTTTAAACCTCTGAGTCTTTTATACAATAACGCAATGAGCCAATAAGTGAATTCTTAGGGTTGCCGGTATAACCTCAAGAAGGTTGTGAAAGGTGAATGGTTTAATTCCATCAATAAAAGGGAAGCTATTATTTAATTTAGGGAACTAAACCTTATAATTACTGTTATTTACATGAGAGAACACTCCTATTATCAATTATTATTAATTCCTATTCCTACTATTCCGATTCCTATCCTATCCTATTATCAATAGGAAGGTTCTGAATAATTTGAAGCTCCTCGATAATAGTAAGATCTCTCCTTATCATTACCATAATGTTATATGATGATTTATAAGATATATGTTTTGTGGAATTATTCTCTTTTTTCATATTCGTCTTTTATTGCTTTTGTTATTGTTGTTTCAGTAAATCAAACTGAAATTCGCAGCATAATAGTTAAATCCAAAGTATTAAAATTATTGGAATATTCCTGCTGTGTTTACAAAATATTTTAATATAATTTCCTTGTTGGCTTGTCTTTATTTTTAAAATAAATAAAACGTAAACATAACAAACCAAAAAATAGAAATAATATGAAAAAAAACTATAAAGAAATCTAAAAATGAAATGAAAGGAAAAATATAAAAGAAAATATAAAAACGATTCATGCCCGGTTGAATCGCATAAACTTGCCGCCGTCACAAAAGCACCGCTCATGCGGTTGCTTGATTCTTTACATTGCGCTTTTCATGCTGCAATGCTGTGTTGGTCTACCTTTGCCTACCTCTGCCTTCCTGCCTTCTTACCAACCCAACTGAATGCTGTTGGCTTACTTGTCTACATTTACACTAACAACGTTCGCTATGCGTATGATGTACATGCTGAAGCTGTGTCAGCGGAAGCGGAAATAAAAATACAAACGCAACGTAACGAAACGAAATAATACGTAACGACGATAACAACAACTACAACAAGAGCAACAACAACACCAACAACAGCAACGGTACATCAGAAGCAAGAACAACAAGCAGAGAGGTTTTTACGCGGTAAAACAGTGCAGCGTTGTGAGTTGCTTTTTTACTTTTTAGTAATACAGTACACAGTATTTTCACTGGCACTGCGCTGGCAAACAAATGTGAATTTGTAAATTTGTATTTTGTGAATATATACGAGTGCACTTACATACAAATGTGCATATTTGTTTGTGTTCAGTGTGCTCATTCGGTATAAAGCGATAAGAATACAGTGTGGCAAATTTCAATTGCAAACGCACAGATTTCCTATGTGAATTTTACCATACGGTTGCACATTATAAACATACACACACGCACGCATATATGCATGCAATCCATATACATATACATATATGGTATATTTATGTATGCCACGACAATAACTTGCTGTCTCAGACTTCGACTCGTACAAGCGAATGAACAAATTCTATGTAAAAAGACGTAAGCACAAAATTGTGCGGCCATATACAATAGGAACTAAGGGAATTCGAGGAAATTCATCAGCACATTTATGACAACGTTATATTTACAACAACAACAACAATAACAACAAAACAACTACAACCACAACAGTCCAAATGCAAAAGTAAAATTATGTGCCATTATATTTAATGCCACCTTGCTCCAACCCCTTAAGTGCTAAGCTTTAAACTAACATGCTTGCTTGCATGCCTTCATGCCTATATGAACGACAACAAGATGGATGTACACACATAATATAATAGGTAAAACTGTATATGCAAATCTTAATGTGTTTGTGTGCTTGTTTTCCATGATGGTCTTCGCATTATTGTAATATGCACAAATGTACACAACTCAATTCGTTGATTCTTGAATTGTAGGAGTCTGCGATGAATTTCGCTGGGCGAGTATTGGGCGCCGATATTTGTAACGCACTAACGGCGCAATTGCACATAAACACAACACAGCAAAACACAGCAGAACACAGCATAACACGGCAGCAATAACAATAACAGTAACAACAATAAGAACAAAACCAAAAACAAAAAAACAGTTACATCAGTTAAGGACAGCACACAGTGGTAGCGAGCGAAAACGTCAGCGAAAACAGTAACAACAAATGTGAATTGGCAAATTCTCGAAATTGATGCCACTCCAATGTGTTGGTCCTATTGCTGCTATTGTTATTGTTGTTGTTGTTATTGTTGTTATTTTTAGTATTGCTATTGCTATTGCTGTTGCGATTGGTATTAACAGTGCACACACAACTCAAAATGAAAGTATAAGAAAAATCAATTAAACGCAGTGCAGGACTTTCTATTAATGTTTATCGTGTCGTTGTAGACATTCTACTTTCCACAGGCGAAACTACAATTTTTCTCTCCTCTATCCTCTATCATTTTTTTTCGTTGCTAAATCTTTCAATGTCTTCCTTAAGATTACATACAGTGTATAATTTTTTTTGATTCTACCACTTCTACTACATTTTATTTATGTATGTATATCGTATGTTATATATATATATATATATATATGTGTGAGCATATGTTCAATATTTGATACAAATAAACACAATGAGAATTGCGCTCATCTATGCATGAACTAATTTTTATATTGTTGTTAACGAAAGAGCGCTCTGGCACCAAAGCTAATTAACTGTAGTTGATTATATATGTATATTTGCACGTGTGTTTGTATATACATTCCTTCCTTCATACTATATGTATGTATTTTAGTAAATGTTTATTTGTGCTGCTCATAAAATGAGTTTTTATGACGATGACAAAATAGTTGGGGTGTGTATGGATTGTGCTTAAGGATAATCTAAATTATTGCAGAAATATATTTGCTACATTTCATCGAGAGCACCAACAATTCTTATATAAATAAAATAATTGCAATTTATTTGTATATCAACCAGAAGATGTTTTATATATTTACCATTAGTTATTGTTCATCAATATTTCTTATATTGATACAAAATTTCTGTTAGCGACGCCTTTAAGTATGCAACACAATTTTTTTTATGTCTTTCAAAAAAGAAAGTGAAGAGCTGAACTATGATAGAAGGGCATAACACTTAAAAGAGTATTATTATTTATCGATTATTCGGTTATAATTTCCTCAAAAATATGAAAATTTACAGATATATATACTTATATTTCATAATCACATAAACTATATAATATTATAACGATTTATAGACTACATTAAAAACAAAAAAAAAATAATATTTAAACTTATATATGGTTTTAAAGCTGTAAAAATGTTGCCAAATTAAATATACATATATATTTGTGACCTGACAGATTATGAAAACATATTTTTATTGATTTGAAAAGTTCTGTAGAAGAATAAAATATGAAAAAGTGTAGCTAAGTTCTAGAGAAGGAATTAAAAACAAAGATGATTTCAAAGATAAAAAAGATGAAAATTTACAGATATATGTACTTATATTTTATAATCACATAAAAGATCACTATATTATAATATAGTGATTTATAAACCAAATCAAATACAAAAAGAATGAACATTAAAACTTTTAAAAGGTTTTAAAACTGTAAAAATGTTGCCAGATGATATATATATTTCTAATATGACAGATTATGAAAACATATTTGTATATTCTTATTGATTTGAAAAGTTTTGTAGAAGAATAAAATATGAAAAAGTATAGCCAAGTTCCACAGAAGGAAGAAAATTCAAAGATATTTTATTGAAATAGAAATTTTCGATTCATTACCTGTAAGATAGATTTCCATTAAGTAAAGCATAATAAACCTTAGAAAGTACTAAACAAATTAGATTTAGATTACAACATAATTTGATGAATTTCTATATTGGAAATAATCCAATATATTGGAACCAAAACGTAGAACAGAGAAATAAAAAATCTAAAAATCCTTAAAGGGGTGTTTTAAAAGCTCGAAATGTAGAGTTACAAAAAAAATTCGAATATGTTATGGATCTAAGTTCTAAAAAAATGCAGTCAGAAAACAGGCATAAAAAATTGGTGATAAGAAAAGAACGACAAAAAGTGAACTATTTTCGATATGTGAAGCTTGAACCCGATTTCTTCTATTCAGAAAAAAAATAAATTTAACTATTCAGGCTCAAAAACATCTGAAACTGAACTGGACATTAGAAGAATTAATGCACTGCACAGAACAAAAAAGAAACATATTTCAATCTAATATCAAGAGATGTAGTTAAATACATATGATAGCACATATCCTTGTTAACGATCGTGTTTATACTCGTTTTATACAGTATCGTTTACATATGGTTATATTAAATCTCTATAGCACGTTGTGATTTATTTGAAAACAAGGTTTTTAATAACTAATTTTAAGAAATATTTTAAACATTTTTCCTTCTTTTTCTTAAACATATGTTAAGCATATTTATATTTTCTCTCTTGGGCTATAAAACTAATCAGAATTCATTTTCATATGTACACAGTCCACCATACTTTATCATCTATCATTATCTTACAGCATAATTTTAACATGCATATATTTAAATATATATCAAAATCTAACTTAACAAGAATCTAAATCTGTAAAATATATAAATCCGTGTCGGGAATAATATTCCTCTTCAGTAGAAAGCAGCTAGGGTTACTAACAGGTTGACAGTTGTTACATCTTCACTTGTCTCAACCGTCTCATTATCGTCTCAACAAGATGTGTTTATTTGAGATGCGTCTTCCAGTTTTTCACTTTGTGACTATCCAGGTTTGAAATTTGACCTGAAAGAGTATGCTGGATAGGGAACTTATATTCTGATATGATATTCAAAAATGCATGTTTTGGCCTTTCGTGTGCTTTCTTGGCCTTTTTGCAAGTAATTATTTTTGAACCGGCATTTTTTATTTAATCCTTTTATTCGGTGGGTTTCAAATATACGTTCTCGACTAATAATTCGTAAAAAACGAACAAAGCCCATTATATTATTGATTCATAATTTTAAATTACTAATTAATTATAATTATTACTATAACACTTTTGGGATCATACTTATGATTTTTTTACATTTCTGGGTAATGATTTCATTCGCAATCCATTTACAAAATACTTTGAGTGTACAAAGATTGTGAACTTCAAAAAAGTACACATGTATTAAAATCTATATTATTTAATATTTTTTTTTATTTTACTTGAACATTTATTTTCATAATTAATAAATTCTATGATATCAAATACCTCTAGTTCCCAAAAATGCTTAATGCAGCTACATTCGAACTAAAAAAACAAATGTGTTTATAGATGTATTATTATTCAATACTATGACTTAGATTAATTCTCTTTCCTCTTTTAATTTCAGTCTACCGGCTCTGGCGGATCAAAATTCCACCACTAAAAGCTTTGCGAATAACTTCAAACTTGAACCCAATCTCAGCGCCAAAGAGTTTAACACTAGCCAAGCAGAAAATGGAGATTCACAGCCCACACGTAAAAAATCCAAGAAACGTGTACAATTCAGCGATGCACTAAATGGCTTCCCTAAAATGAAGGATTTTTCAAATTTCGCTATGAAAGCAAAGAAACATGACCAGAAAATGAAAAACGTTGGCAGTAATGGCGACTTACTACCGGAAGTACTGGACTGCCGCATAGCTGAAAAAATAAAAAGCGAACTTGAAGAAAAATCTGCATCAAAAGAATCACTACCAAATGCGCTATGCCTAAAGAAAGGTGATGAACAGAGCGATGAGGAAGACGACGATGACGAGAACACTAATGCTGGCGCATCGACCATTACAGATGCAGTCGATGGCATAAATGGTCAAAACAGTAATTTCCGTATGCGTATCAAAAATAAGAAAAATAGCAAAGGCATGGCACCACCCAATAGTTACAATAATCTGAACGCGAATCCAGAAGATGATGAAGATGAAGGCGAAGACAGTGAGTGCGATGATGATGATGAGGAAATGGATGAAGAAGCAATGGCCCGTGAAATGAAAAATGAACAAAACTTTGTTGAAGAAGAAGATGAACATGACATTGCTTTCCGTTCGCATCAATCGTGTCGTGAATGCTCCATCACACACGACCAAAAAATGTGTCCGCTGCGTAATGCTATGAGCACAATAACAGATGCAGTAGACTTAGCCGAGTGGATTGAACGTAAAAATTTGGAAGCATTGGCCAAACTGAAAGCAGATGCACATAGACATGCGAAACAAGATCACGATGATGATGAGGACATGGATGAGACTTCTCAAATGTCGGAATTGGAAACAAAGCCATTAATAACATTTGCCGAAGCTTCTGTGCCAGCAGAATTTGAGTTGCATAATGTGGAACCAAATGTAACCGGGGTATTTGTGCGTAGTGAGGTAAGAGCATTTACAAAACTAGGTCCGCTAATTGGTCAAAAGGTGGAAACGACTGAGGTACGTGAAGGCAGTGATATGAAGTGGATATTTGAAATATGTGAAGCTGGCGCAGAAAAATCGCAATTGTTGAGTTGTGAAAATCCGAACACGTCAAATTGGTTGCGTTACATACGACCAGCGCCCACCTATGATGAACGCAACGTCAATCTGGTTTCCATTGAGCGACAAGCATATTTTGTTACATGTACAGAGGTTAAGAATGGCATGGAGTTACTTTACTGGAGTGATGAGTGTAACACAATGTGGCGAAAAAAGCACACGGAAAAGATAAGTGAGTGCAGTCAATGAGTTATGAAATGAAGTCTTACACAAATTATTTAAAATCCCTTTTTTATTATTATATGAACTTAATAAATCGCTTTTATTTTAGATTGTGGCGGTTGCAATTTGAAATTTGACCATCCACTTTATTATCGTACACACTGCTCCGTGTTTCATGATCCTTCAATGAGCCTAACCATACGCAAATATCATTGTAAGGTATGTGGCGAGGCAGTGCTGGGCAAGGATAACATTACCAAGCATGCGGCGGAAAAGCATGATGGAAAGGGTGCATATCAGTGCCAGTTTTGCAACAAGTTCTTCTTGCGTCTCAACTACCTTGAAATGCACCGCACATACGGTTGTGCCGCAAATCCAAATCGGGCACGTCCGTTGTGTGATTTTTGTGGTCGCAAATTTTGCCAACCACAGAAATTGAAAGCTCACATTAAACGAATGCACAGTGGTAAGAAGGCTCAAAGAGAGTCCTGTAGTAACAGTAGTTAAATAGTTTGCTACAAAATATATACATATGAGCATACGTATATAGTATAATAAATTTGTATGTATCTTAACTATGTAGTTAATGTAGTATATTTGTATATTTGAAGCTATGTTGTATGTATTCGTATTTTATAGATATGTATGGTATATGAATTTCATAAGTAATAAGTAATTAATAAGTCTCTGGCGTATTGTATCGTGCCTATCATGCTTTCAATAGTTTTAATTTCACTAACCCATCTGAATCATTTTGATTTTGGTACTTTGATTGGCTAACAATTTTTATATTAATTTAGTATTTTTGATTTAATACTCATGAAACTCATAATGGACAAGTTCATCATGACGCACACTCACACAATACCAAAGTCATCCAACAATACTGAAATTGTCACCCAACAATATGAAAGAGATATCTAAAATAGCTTAATATGTATTCTAAAAGTACTAATAATAAAGACGATTAAATGTTCATCTTCTTTAGCAAGTTCCAATAATCCAGTGTCCCTAGTTGAGAAAGGAACAAACATTAAATATAATTTTTGATAGCAGATAAATTATAAATTTAACGACTTCCACAAGTCTTTATAATAAAATTAATTGAACATTTCTACTCATTAATTTTAAGAACTAAAACAGATATCCTTTATATAACGTGAGCTACCCGCATTACTTAAACAAATCTATTTTTATTAATATAAATTTCTATTTGTAATCTCTTTAATCTCTGATCTCTAAAAACTAACTTTCGCAAATTAAAATACATATTTGGCGTTGATATTTACACTTTTAGTGCCAGATATACATATATAATGTCGCCAGCTAGTGTTTTCCTAACATCTTTTATAATTAAAAAGTCATACATCCTTGAATGAGATGTCAGTGCATTCATTGGTAAATTAAAATTGGTCACCAAATCATAGGGACATTGTCATAGACTTGGCAACTGTAAGGTTAACGAAGAGAACATATAAAACACACACAAATATCCATAACAACATCCAATAATGAGATAGGATGTTGATTAAACCTGCCTAAAACAAAAAGGGATCATAAGTTTAATCTTATCCGCCTTTAACTGTTTAATATAATCACCGTTGTTATCTAGACATGCCAACCAGTTATGGGTTCTTTTCAGCAACTATTATCTGAGTTACAGTTCAGTGCTGTTCACTTACTCTTCCACTGCCAAACCTGAAGGAGTACGTCCCCTTTAATGTGTTGCAATATCAGGTATCCAATATTGACTATATAGGAATTTAAAACATTGCTCGTTTCATTAAAATCACATTGTTTACCTGTTCTGATATAACAATATCTTTACCTTGGTATCTTGGAATTATTAGGGACAAATAAAAACTGTGATCTCACACCGCAGATACCCAAGTGAATCTCTTCTTTTTGTATCACTGCTTTATTTTAAGGTTTTACCATCGGGATCCGTAAGAAAAGATTTACTAATTATAGCACGGCTTTTTACTAACATTTATTTTAATATTATGTAATTTTCATATAATTAAAATAAATTAATAGCTCAATTTAACATCGGAACCATTATAGTCCACAATCAGTGTTAGAAAGCCATCATTATATCAAATCCTTTGTCATTTTATGACATATTGTAACTTCTTTCTGTTACTCGCAAATGTGATAAAACTCTCTCCTGAAACTCTTCTTTTTATAAAAAGTAATAGTAAGACCTTCAGTAATTATTTTAGCTCTTAATTCTGAATTCCTTCAAATACTATAACTTTTGAATCTATTGCTCAAAGATGATCGCACCCAGACAATACACACACAATCATATGCATCGTTATATTCTGTTTCGTTATTTATTATTTTCCAAATCACCACAATCCAAAATTTCATTTTCTTCATAAATTTCATTTTAGATATGGCTGAAGTTTTACGAGATTTTCAGTGTAAATTATGTTCAAAACTTCTAGGATCACGTGCAGCACTGCAACGGCATTCGAAGGAGGTCCATAGTCGGAATTCCACTGTAGTCAGTTGTCCAAGATGTCAGAAGCTTTTCCAGAATCGAAGTAACCTTAAGATACATATGTTAACTCATTCTGGTGTGAGGCCCTTCAAGTAAATATATATTACTACTTTTCCCTCTTGCTCCATTACACAATCTTAAAAACTCTGTATTTCAGATGTGCGGAACAGGAGTGTAATGCTGCTTTTACAACCAAACAGTGTCTACAGTTCCATTATAAGAAGGTACACAATTATACACAGGAACAAATGCCGAAGATTGAACGCAGTGTTGCCTACACCTTTGATGCATATTCCGGTGGCATGAAAGTAGACTTTCTCGGTACGACTTGTATGATATATCTTAAATTTTGATTAATTTTATTTAAAATTTAGAACAAGCACCACGACGACGCCGAAAGAGCTTGGAGGATCAAAATTCTATACTTAGTTCTAGTATACAAAGTGATACCGAATTTTCAGATGATAATATATTTGAAGCCATCAAAAAGTCTGGTAAATCCATTAAAGACTTATGTCGAAATGAACCTAATCTGTCGTTGCTGAGTTCCAAAATTTCCAGCATGTTTGGTGAAAAAGTCGCAGGTACAAGAAAACGCAAGAAAAAGAAAGAACAAACTTCAGCGTTACTGACTGAAGACGATGAAGAAGATGAACGCTTAGATCAGGTGAGAAGAAAACAGAACGCACAACTCAGTCTCGTAGAATCATTTTTAACAACAACCGCACAACGTCTGACCGCACAGCAACAAGTACAGCAAGTTGTAGCAGCTGCAGCGGCTGTATCTGCAATGGCTGGTAATAATGCAGACGATCCTAATAAGATGCACATGATGACAGGTCTTAATCCCCAACATATGGTGAACATGGGACATGGCTCATCTATGGTAAATGATGATGAAGAAGATGATGAAGATGACGAGGATGATGTGCCAAGTCATCATCACGTAGGTCAACAAGGACTTCATGACAATAATAGTTATCGTCATCATGCTAACATGAATCCATTAGGACAAAATTTGGTTGTGAGTAAGGGTAGTAAAAAGTGGATAAGCGGTGATGATAGACATATGAGTCGAGACTGTAATTCAGTTGATCGCTGTGGTATGGGAAATAATGATGTGTGCGGACCTAGCATGAATAATAATCAGTCTTCTTGTGGTATGTCTGGAGTTGGTGGTCCTAACGATATGGGTATACCTGGATTTTCAGTACCACCCGGCGCTGTTGATGATCCAAGTAAGCTTATTGGACAGAATCGTGACTTTTTAGCGCGTTTAATGAACTCTGCCAATGCCAATCACACGCATCATAATACTGCCAATCGAGAAGAAGATGAAAATTCTTCATTTCTAGATGTAGTAGAATCAAATAACACAGGTGTGGGTGGTCAGATGTCGCAATATCATCATGCTGGCACAAATAATGCAACGAATGTAAGCAGTGGAGCAAATGTTGTTAATGGTGTGGGCGCGAACTCAGCTGGAGCAACTGGTAATGCTGGAAATCAGGGTGAAAGTACGCAAATGCAAATTAATTCGCTTACGCATCCACAATCGTTTATGAGTTCTTTCTACAACAATGCAAATGCAAGACTGACTGGATCCGGCTCAAATGCATCCACATCTGCAAGTATGTTAGTTGAGGCAGCATTAAATTCTGTTGGTAATATGATTGATAATGAAAGTAACGAACTTAAGGTAAGTTTGCAAGTAAATATTCAACCCAATAATTTTACCTGTACTATTTGTGTACTTTATAGGTTCCCACCGATAGTAATATAAACACAGATAGCCCAATGAGTTCACACGTAGATTCAGAATCAAATCGATTTAATAGTTCTACCAACAATCCAATAAATAGCATGGAAAACTTAGAAAATGAATTAAAAATGATGAAAAATCTTAGTAACTTCCCAATGCAAATACCACCACTGCCAATGTTTCCAAATTCTGGCAACAGTATGAATTCCTGCAACATATCACCAAATGCATCGACACCCACAAACCCGCAAAGTAATCAAAATAACGAGGCTGATGTGGATCCAAGTTCAACTCCTCGTCCTCAACATATGGGTGGCGCACCAGATTCTGATGGCTTTTCTTCCACACATCATCGAACACCGCCAACACCACAACCCATATCACCGGGCAGAGATTATGGCATCTTTGGTACTGGTGGATCTAATGGAACCCCTGGTGGCCCTGGTACTGCGGGCAGTACTAGTAGTGGCAACAGTGGCGCCGGCAGCACTACAAATAACATATCAGCTTCATCTCCTTTACCAAATATGCAATCTCAAAGACGAACTGCTTCTAGCGTGGGAAGCGTATATCCAGAACATGAGCTAATATCACCAGCGTCTTCGCCTTCAATACCTCGCTATAATTTTAATGGTGATATGTTACGACATAAACGCGCAGAGCAAGATAATGATAGGCGTCAAAGTCTGACCGGACATAATCACCTCTCCAGTGATGATGAAAATAGTATTATACCGCAAAACAGGTAATTCATTGCAAAATTGAATATTATTTTTAATATTTATATTATTACTGTTTTAAAACAAACAAATTATCTTTTTTTTTTGCAGCTCTGGTCAGGATATGCGTATGAAATTTTCTCAATCTCAAGTGGACTTAATGTATACGAAATACGAAAATATGGCTAATGCTAGTAGTCTTAAGTACAATAATCAAGATTTAGATTCCCCTGCCGAATTTCGTAGTAGTAATAGTTCTGCAGGCGTTGGCTCAGCAACAGCTAATGAAATGTCAGACCTTCAAGGGTTAGATATGTCATCACGTTCAAATATTGGTTCCACAAATTATCATCACAATTTTCAACTACCAAGTAGTGCTAGCTCGAACATACCTGGCATTGGTCGTTACCATCATCACATATATGATATTCTATCCGAACGAGAACAAAACCAACAATCCCAAACACAACAACAACACCATTCATCTGCCACTGCTGCTCAACATCAACAGCAAGAGCATAGTAGTCAGCTGGTAATGCAACAACATCAGAGTTCAATGCATAATATGTTGCCAGAGCAATTAAGTGAACAAGAACATGATCAAGCCACATCTGTTGACTTAAGTCGTACCGCAAACTATGTGGTGCCATCACCGCCGCAATTACCCTATAATCATCCTCATCATGATATGCTGCGTATGGCCTCACTAGATTTAACACCGAATACGAATATGAGTGTTGGTAATAATCGCTCTTTCCTCTCATCACAAATGCAGCATCAGAGTCGTGAAAGTTTAGAACACCATAGATTATTATCAACAGTTGAACAACATCGTATATTAGCAGCATCGAATGCTGCTGCTGCTGATCAACATCGTCTATTAGTTGATCCCACCGCACATTTATTAATGGAACAAAACAATCGTTTGTTGAGTTCCGATCAGTCACGTTTACTGGGTGAATCGGCACAAAATAGGCATATGGCACGTGGCTTTGGTGCTTATCATCAGGTTGCTTCTGGTAACTATCATCCGGGTGTAAGACCACCAGTGCTGCCAACTGCTAATCATCATGCATCAAATCCATCAAATTATCATCCATTTCCAGCGTACTACTAAAGCTTTTTGATAATTGAAATTGGTTGAATTACTTTAATTCATTCGATTTTGTATACAAAAGTTGAGATATTTAAAATATTTTATAGTATATTTTTTTTGATTAATGAAAAAACATAACGATAATGTCAGTCGATACTCGTATTAACTGGAGAACATACATTTTTTCCTTTTTCAATGAATTGTCTGTACCAACTGTTTTCAGTGTACTTGATCTACTGTAGATTGATTACGAAGATTTCAAAACTACTATAGTGAGAGATGATTTCTGCTCGAACTCAGTTTTTAGTAATTCACAGATAAGTCGGATAATAGACATTATATAAATATTGTTTTACTTTTAAGCAATGAGATCTCTTCAAGAAGAAGAAATATTTTCTAATATGTCAAAATCTGTCATATTAAGATCGAAGCCTCGAGGTGTTTTGTTTTCTAACATATGGATTGATATACAATATCAATGATTGGAACAAAATCTTAATGGTAGATTTATATCCTTTCCGGTGAACATTTTTACTATATGCACTGCAATAGTATCAACATTTTCCTGATAAACTCGTGCCCAAATTATATTACTTTTTGAAAGTGAAAAATGGAATTATTAGGCTTATCGCAGTATTTTAAGGCGAATATTACAGTTTTTATCTGCAGTTATCTAAAATAAGTTATTTTATATAAAAGATTTTGTTTTATACCTTGTTTTGTCATCTCTCCTCCCAATGTAGCATGGGATTACAATTTCTCAACTAGTTTTCTTCATATTTTATTTTTGCACTGTTCTACTTTAAAAAACAATAAAGAAGAATAATAATTTTTTCCTTATGAATTTTTTATCCTTTGGACATATTTTGTCCAATATCCGAACTGGGTATTAAATATGGGTATGCTTCTTCTCTTCCTCCTCCTCTTGGAATTTTTGTATACCAATCTATCAGATTCATCGATTATAATATTTCGAACTTGACAATTGACTTTGATATTTAACTATAATATATTTTGATTACTATGGTAATCAGCGACTTAAATGATTTTGTTAACTAAACTAAAGAATTATACGATCTAAAATGTAAATAAAAAAAAACAGATATTTCAATAATTTTTCAAAGTTTGTAGTTATATTTGGCTTTGACGGCAAATAAGTTTAATATTCCGTATATGTAGTTAAGTTATTCAAATTATTCAAAACTAATGAGAATTGTATTTTCAACTTTTTGCAGTTTCAACTTTTGTCTACAAAACTCAATGAAATTTAATTCATTTTTAATATTTTTGTAAATGTAGTAAATTTTGTTTAGTATTTTAAATACAAATTTAATGCACACTATATATAATATATTTATTATTTATGTTTACATATGTATTTTAAATTATTTAATAATTCATAAAAATAAATATCATTAGTCAGACGTTGTCTGTAGAATAAAAAGTTTAGATGATTATTATTAATAAATTAAAAATTAAGTGTTTAAGTTTAAAAAAAATATTTATTATAATTTTCGTATGCAAATATAAAAAACTAATATTAGGTTTAGTTAATAATTTACTTATATAACTCTTAAACATATAAATTGCATGTTTTGTGTTCCTTAATAAAATATATTATATATTACAGTTTTTTATTGGAAAACTACAAATAATTATAATTTATTTAAAACTATAATAATAATGAAATTAATTATAGAAAAACAATTTTAAATTATTTTGTAAATTTCATTAAGAATTAATTAGTTATTTAATGTGCCAATATAAATATGAAAACAATATTAAATAAATATTATACATATATTCAAATAAAAAAAATTGTAATTAATGTAAAACAAAAGTAAATTAATAAAAAAATATTAAATTGCACATATATTGTAACAAATATAAATAAAATTGCTATAAACTATAAACAAAGTTGCGAAGCTAAATGATAGCACTTTAAAGTATATATAGAAATATATTCAAATACCAATATACACATATTAAAAAAAAACAATATACAGGAAAAATTAATTGCAGCAAATTTTTAGCGCTATTTTTACACATTGTAGAATCGATATATATAAAAAAATTTATAAAAAAAAAGTTCAAGTACAAAAAGAAGGTAAACTAAAACTAAAAAAAATGAACAAAAAAATTAATACGAAAAAGCAACTTTTATATTTAATTTTAAATTTAATTTATTTTTTTGTTCGTAATTAATTTACAAAATGTAATAAAGTAAATAGCAGAGCATTAATTAAATTTTTAAAATCCATTTAATATGTTTTTGAATTGTGCAGTACTTTAACGGACAAAACCGTGCCGTACTGTACTTTACTTAGTAAGCGCCTGGCAAGTAATGAATAATTGAATGACATTATATGAAAATTAAGTGCGACGCATTTTTTGAGAAACAAAAATTTGTAATCTTAATTTATGTTTATTAAATAATATATTCTTGTAAATGATGTATTAACCCATAATTTAGTGTTAACATTAATGCATAACTAACCCATATATACAATTTATGATAATAGTTTTAGTATAAAAAGTAACATCAGGAAGTTAGCTAAAGCTAATTGTAAACAGATTAGACTCATTAAATTTATTAAGCACAAAATAAATTCATGTAATAATCTCCCTTAAACAATTGTTTCAAAATTAATGCATAAATATTGAAACAACTAAAATAAACCCAATATTTTGTACTAAAGCATACATGCATTAAATATAAATATAAAGTTATATATATATATATGTATATGCATATGTAAGCACATATGTATATATATATAATTATATATAAAAAAACATATATATAAAAATATTCAATAGAGTATACATACATAATTACACCTAAATATATCTTATGGTTAGCATTTTATGTAAAAAGGTAATATAAAGCATATATATATATATAGAAATATATATATAAATATATTATATAAAAAATAAATTATTAAAATATTTAATACAATATATACAAATTAATACATACAATACAATACAATAAATTATATACATATATACATATGTCAAATAAAGTAAAAGGTAAATATATATATAAACAAAATGTTTATTTAATTTCAATAGGGTAATATCCTATTCACACAGCCTAGTAATCATCATTTAAGTTGTAATTATCAGGGATCAGCTGGTATCGCTAAAAACTTGTTCACACAGCAATTCATAATTTGATTTTTTTAAAATAAATTAGAATATGTGTTTTAAAAATAATAATAGTGTATGTAGGGTATTGAAGCGTTGACTTCAATATTTCTAAATTTTATTCTTTTTCTTATGGTTTTTATAATAATTTTAGTATGTGCGTACAGGTTAAAAATTAATGTTTTTAAATTGAAAATAGAAAAACTGAAATCTATATACAATCTCCAAAAAGAGTGAATTTTTGATTAGATACGATATGTTCTCGTAAGTCAACATATCGTCTAATCAGTTTAAAAACAAATTCATTAACAAAAATATTGATATTTGATAAGAAAAGTGCCTGATCTGTAAATAAAATTCTCAATGTTAAATATTTGTAAGTAGTTGTCCTAATTACCGGGGTTGACAGCAAAGTTCAAAATTTGCATTTGTGATATCACAACTTATCTCACTGAAATAATTTAGTTGAAAAACTTTCATAAGTTTGGTTTTGAATATATAGGGCTTTCAGAGGTAGCCAGATAGATAGAAAAAATAATAAGCTGTTGTTCACTGTTATGTCAGGTCTCAAAATGTTTATGTGATATAAAGGGGCAGACTTAGTAATTTGGTGCGTGCTAAATTCAAAATTTTTGTTACTTTTATTGCAAATTAAAAAAATGAGACAGAAAAAGAGCAAATGTCGGTTTAAATTTGGTCATGAAAAGCAAGACTATCTGTGTCTCGTCACTTAGGCAAAACATTGTTGTATGTATGTATGTATGTATGTATATATTTCCTTTAAAATTTAGGCACAACAAAAATGTACAGAAGTAATAGTAAAAATACGAAATTGACAAACTGATGTGATAGTCTGCATAATATGCAAACATCTTTCGCCATAGACCAAAAGAGTCAATTTTGACGTATCCGTGACACTCTACATAACATAGGCCTTATAGTTTATACAAAAGTAACGATATTTTTTTTATCACATAATAAAGATTGCTGATCCCAAAAATTTTGCTTTTTAGAGCAATTTCTTATTTACCCTTTTCATTGGACGGCCCTGATGGTATAGTGTTGCCATACTGAAAGTTATTATAAGTATGTATGTGGTCTTTCACTCTACACTTGACTTTTTTAGACAAATAATTTTCTGTTTAACAAAACGATTGAAGTTGGTGAATAGTAATATTGCTGTTTCAATGATTTTAAAATATTTTTATTGTATATATATCATTTAAAAAACAAAGCAACCTTCCCTGGTAATATTATCTACATGACAAATATTTCGCACGTTTCCCTTGAGCACATGCTTTCGTTACATTCTCTCCATCTCATGACGCAATGTTTATAAAAATTACTAATCGCTAATTTCTCTTGCCTCAATGCCTGCCCATTACGGTCTTATCAACAGCTGAGTGCGATATCACAGAGAGAGAGGGAGAGAAAGAGAGACAACATAATTTATAGGCGGCATTGATACAAAACAATTGAAATGAATTTAGTCTGGAAATTTTTGCGTTTGGGTATATTCGCTAAGGTCTCCGTGGTGCGCGAAATTTAGTTCAAACGTATAATTGAAGAATTGAAAAGAATAAGATTGATTGAAGATTTCTTTATTTTATATTATAAAATTCTACAAAAATGCATGGTGGCAATGGAACACAAGATCAAAATAGTTTTAAACAGGGAGCTATTGACTTTACAGCGGGCTCATTAGGTAATTGAAAACAGATTCGATTTCACATGAATTCAAAATCTTGCGTTTAGTCTTATCTGGTGAAATAGTTCTGAACAATTACGCTTCTTGATTTTAATTTTATATGTATATAATTATATAAATTTATGTATATATAAGTATATATGAAATTAAAATTATTGTGAGACTTAAATCCACTAAAACCACCGCTTAGGAATGAATCAAGAAACTAGTAACACCAATAAAACTTTATATAACTAACAATAAATAATTAGAACATTTAATACTCGACGTATCATCACTTCATCTTTTCCAGCTCATATTAATCCTCATCTTCTTAATTTCATACTACTAAAGTGATGTACAAATTTAGGTGGTATGTTACAGGTGTATGTCTCCCAACCGCTGGATACGGTGAAGGTTAAACAACAAACCTTTCCCAAGCTTTATAAGAACATGTTCGATTGTTTTGTAAAAACTTATCGGAAGGATGGCATTTTTCGTGGTCTATATGCGGGTTCTGTGCCTGCAGTTATCGCCAATGTTGCCGAAAATTCTGTATTATTTGCAGCCTATGGTGGTTGTCAAAAATTTGTGGCCCATGCCATGAATGTAGAAGATACAAAAAATCTTTCAGTATTAGGAAATGCTTTCGCTGGATTTTTAGCTGCATTCTTCTCCACCTTTACATTGTGTCCAACAGAATTAATTAAATGTAAATTACAAGCTATGAGAGAAGTACGTTATTATCTATATATACATATATATATATATACTTCCAATGTTTTAAATTATTTGATTTTTAAACATGTTTTAGATGTCGCAGATATCTAGTGCCGGTGCAGTTTTAAAAACAGAACACATAACGCCTTGGCAACTTACAAGACAAGTCTATTGTACGGAGGGTAAGTTTTCATATAAACATTTATTTAAAACCCTTTAATCGGTTTTTAGTTAATTCATTAAGCTCTTTCTTTTTTATTGTCAACCGGTGTAATATATTCACTTTATAATCTATATGGTAGATAAGATTTCTACGTATCGTACATTAGCATTAGATTATTTTTTCTAACTTCCAAATCACAGAATAATAATTTTTTGTTTATTTTAACTGCAGGCATTCCCGGTTTTTTCCGTGGATTGACTTCTACTTTCATGCGTGAGATGCCAGGTTACTTCTTTTTCTTTGGTGGCTACGAGGGCACCAGAGAACTGTTCACAAAGTAAGTACATATACACACATATATAAATGCTTATTTAAACTTATTTCCTAATAAATGTATGTATTTTAGACCTGGTCAAAGTAAAGATGATATTGGTGCTTTAAAAACAATGGTGGCTGGAGCAGTTGGTGGCGTTACATTATGGACTGTCATATTTCCAGCTGATGTCATTAAAAGTCGCATACAAGTTAACAATTTAAAGCGTAGTATGACTTCTGTTGGTTTAGAAATATTTAGAAATGAAGGCGTTTTGGCCTTATACAATGGTTTATTGCCATCCGTGCTGAGAACGATTCCAGCTACAGCGACACTATTTGTAGTTTATGAATATACAAAGAAAATTTTAAATAACGCACTTTAACAAAAAAAGAAAATATTTTTATTCATTAAAATTAATCGTAGAAAAATTCCTATAATTTAACGATTGTTGATAATTTACGTTTTAAGAAGTTTTTACGATCTACCGCTGTTTCTAACCCCCGCCACTCATGCCAATATATCTATGAAATTTTAGAGAAAACATTAGTTAATTTAAAGAAAATAAAAATTTTCTTTATATATATACTCACTATAACAGGTCTATGTCCTAAAAGTTCGAGTTGATTAAATTTTAATTTGAAAAATCCAGTAACTTTTGTTGTGCCTCTTAGTACGTTATTCCAACCAGTAACGGTAACCACTAATGTCTCAATATGTGGAGCATCTAAATCCCCTAGAAGATCTTTGCGTGTTAGCATCGCACCTAAAATTAAATTTTATTATTATCAATTTTATTTCAGTTTCTTTTTGTTGTTGTTGTAGTAACCAATGCGAGACACCTATGTTCGGCTGATGAAGAAGAGTGGCTGTTAGTTGTCTGAAAAGAAGTGTGGCTCCAGGAGACACACCCGTTCACTCATGAAATTTTTAATGCGTCATTTATAGATATGGTACAGACGATCAAATCCCACCCATCCTTTCTAAACATGGGTTATAACACAATAGAAGCTCTGGAAGATCAAGTCTGCATAGCTCAGCTTTTACCTTTTCAAACGATTAAGTGCCATTAACTTCTCGCAATACTTATTACAACAACAATTATCTATAAATATTAATACTTACCAACATAATGCTCTGGACACTCTTCAGAAATTGGTATCGCTTTACGTAGCTTTTTATCATAACAAATCACTATATCCGTTCGTTCAAAATGTGGCAAAACATGTCTAAATTGATTTATTAAGGAAAGGTCTTCAAAAGTATCTTTAACTTCCAAAAGTACTTTATCTGTAGCGCTAAGTTTATATTTTGAATGACGCTCTGGTAAATAATTGGTAAGCATTTTACCCATTGTGCGTCTATATTTATCAGACAACTGAGGACCAACGTAATTATCTTGTTTTAAATTAATTTTTATAAATGCATCTAACTGAAACAGTTCTCTGGCCATAACTGCATTGTTTTTATATGTATGCAGCAGGAATTTCGGATCAAATATTGTACCTAACATTTCTTTATCATAGTAGCCTTTCACTGATAAGTAGTGCATGCAAAGTGGAAAGCAACGTGGATGCAGCATTATTTCATCTACTCTATTTTGCAGTGAATCCATAATTTTTTGACAAATTTCCTTTTCAACCCCGGATTTACTTTCAAAATCAAATAAAGCAATAACTAAAGCTATGCGCTCTAAGTCCTTGAGTCTTACTGTTGATATTTCCGTGTTAAACCGTTTCAAAACACGTTCCAAACTCTCATTATGACAGAACTGTAAATCATTACCCAACAATGCAATATGCAAGCAAGACAATAAGGAAAAACGTTCGATGTGCACCGTAAGTGCGTCTAGCAACTCCGCCAAGGAGTTGGCAAAAGGAATTTTACTGCTGTATCGGATTATTTTTAGCAATGCCACTAAACTTATATCATCTATAGTTTCTAGTTCCGACATAAGTCGTTTATAGATATGACTTAATAAATCTGGATTACGTATTGGTGTTTTTGTTTTGAAGAAACCCAAAGACATTACAGCTAATTCCTGCAGTGTTAGTTTGTCGGCACAACTCAATAAGTTTTCCTCAAACTCTAACTTATCGTCCAGTGGTTTACGTAGAAGATTACAAAAGAACATGGAATGTACAAGTTGTTCGGGTTTCATTTTTCGTACCTTACGACCGATCTTCCGAAATGATTCCTCCACAAATTCACATATCCGTGCTAATTTTAAAGTGTACCAAGCATCGCATACAAGTAATATTTCGTCCACATCCCAACGTTCGATGCGTCGGCAGCATTCGATATCCATATGATTCCATAAATCAATGAAATTATCTGCTGATGTTGAGTTTTCTAAAGGCAGTAAAGCAATACGGCGCAGTGCTTCCAATAGCTGCTCATCGGTTAACTTTGGTAAAATTCTACAAAACAATTGTACGAAATCTTTAAAACATTCGTTTGATATGTGCTTATTGTTCTTTGTACAGTATTGTGTCACTAAGCAAAAGTGCTCGAAAATGTCACTTTCCGCTGCTTTTGGATCAATTGCCAGCGTAGCCGGGTCACTGAAGTCCTTTTCTGATTTTATACTATTTGCTTCAACATTGAGCCGGAAAATTTGGTACGGTTTTAAAGATTCCTTCAAAACATTGTGTGCATGTTCATTTTCACATCCAAAATAACCTGTGTTTTTTACAGCTGCTGTTCTATAGCAACGAGCAGCGAAATTGTTTGTTGAAACTTGTGCAAAATAATTTAATAAAGATAATTTGTTAAACTTTAATACTTTTATGTTATAACTATTTAAAAATCGTTTACAAAACATTTTATACAAATTTCCAATAACAACAACAGATGAGCACAAGTCTACCGCATTTGACAGCTCAGCTGTCAAAACGCACAGCCGTTTTTGACAGCTGTTACTTGCCACTAATTTAACATTACATTAAGACGTTTACAGAATATCAAAGTGTTACAGAATGTTAAAGAATTTAACATTACATTAGCACCTTTACAGAATATCAAAGTGTTACAGAATGTGGATGAAAAGTTGAAAAACCAATCATATATTTGGAGAAATAAACGCGAAAAAGTGTTGTTGCTGTTTGCTTTGCTAATCAATATCAACAAAGTCTATTTCGTCTTGGAGTTCCTCCGATTGCATGCACTAGGAGCTATGTATGCATTGGCTTCAATATTATTAGTTTTTTCTATATGGTTTTCCTAAAGCAAAATATTTTGTATTCACTATTGGATTGATTAGTGGCTCCACTAACAAACTATAAGTTATCATATATGAAATAATAAGTTCCATTGTGCATACGTTTAACATGCCTTCGTTGTGTTATCCGGATCTTCTGGGTACTTCTGAGATTTTCTTCTTCCGTTGAACCTAATTCTGAAATTACAAAACAGTGGACTCAAAGTCCATGTAAGCAAACCTAAATCACTACTTTATTTGGAAAGAAGTTACAGAAGTTACAGCATTATCAGCAAACTTATATTAATGGATGTCTCCGTCATATTAATCGATTCTTTGGGCCTTGTACCATAACAAATTCTAATTTATTGAAGAAAGTAAAGCTAGATAACACTGTTATGAAAATAAGGACAATTAAATCGCATTGGATCGGCACTATAAGGAAGAATAGTGATTGTACTGCCAAACAGTCATTAACATAAAATCCTTTCGAATAAGAAAAAGGTAACGTTAGCAAGTCCCATATAGCGCTTTTCAGCAGATACTAAGATGAAATCACTTAATCTAACTTGAAACGAATAAAGAGCCATCGTATAAAATAGCCAGTATTGGTAAAGGGAAGTTGTGTACGTTTTCTGCGCCACGTAAAAGTTAAATGTACTTTTTGCGCTTCTAAAATGTAATATTATTTACAATTTGGTAATAATTATATTAATTCTTAATAAGGCAACAGTAAACAGTAATTACGATTCTACTTTCTGTTATGTTAAATTTTAACATTAACAGACTAATGTTGCTGTGCTGCTTCTGTTAAAATCTCTTTATGTTCAATTTTTACATAAACACACTTACATTGGTTTGCAGTTTTATGTAAAAATTGTTTGTATTTCTGCTTTTATTGTCTTTACAATTAACATACATCCTTAGTGCATTTTTGTTACCTGATGCTTGCTGTTTGTTCTGAGTTTTGTTTTGTGAATAAATCAAGTTTTAGATATTTTATTTATTAAATCCTTTTAATATACAATTAATAAATATGGAAAATGACGTTTATGAAATTGAGGTAAGTTTTAATTGCAATATATGAGCTTTGAAGATAGAAATAAATTAATCGAGTGCTCATGCGCCGTAGTTTTGCTGAGTAAAGAATATTAGTGTGTATTATAAAATTAGAAGGTTCTCTCAAAATATTATTGTACATAACAAAATATGTGAAAATTTAATATAAATAATGTTAGATTAATTTACGTTTAATAAACTAATTAAAAAGTTTATTGTTTATACTCAATGTTGTGTTTTGACGTCTTCTCTTTGTAAGAACAGAAAAACGTGGTGGTGAGAAAACATATACTACACTTGAAAAAATTATTGGTACAAGAAAATTAACATTAATTTCTCATAATATTTATACATTTTATTTGGGACGTTCGTTTCGCCAATTATCTTAAAGCACATTCACACTATCTCATTATCAATAAATCAGCTCATTTAAGGCGAAAAATATCGAATGCAATCTTTAAAAACAAATTTCCCATGAGGGAAATTATTAAAATTTGAAATATGTATCATATTTTATATGTAAAATGTAAACAAACAACAGCTGAGTTGTAAACAAAAGCATTAAGAAAGTAAGAATATAATAAAATCTTTGTTTTTATTAATTGAATAATGTAATTGATATACAAAATGTATATATATATATAAATTATTAAATATATCAATTATATATTTAATTTTTTTGTGCGATATATTAAGTGAAGTTTATAAAGGTTTATAAAAATTCTATCAGCTGCGTAAATGAGCCCTTTATAATATGAACGTTCACTCATTAATATAAATAAGCAAGTGCTTAAATGAGACAGTATGAATGTACTATTAGCGAATTTTTTATCGAATGGCGAGTTTTATCTCAGCTAGGTGGTATTTATCTTGGCCTGAGAAATTGTTTATACTATTTTTTATTTTATCCACAATTTTATTATTTACCAAACAACCATTAATCCATTTCAGAGTTCATTCCTTATAAACACAACCTTATATGATGTTTTCATTGGCCGAAAATGGCTGATTTTGAATGAGCCATTTGAAAGTGTTTACATTCGTTCTAATTCTTTTGTTCTCATTTCAAACAGCTGATTTTTCAACTTATCTGTTGATTTGATTTTTGGCCTGTGCCAAAAAAATGTTGCATGAAGGTTAAATATGGCTTCAAACATTACAATATAAATTTAAAACATATTTTTAACTTCGATTAATTACTTTTTGGGAAATAGAAGTTCTGAAAAGAGGTGCATCGTTTTCAAGAAAATGCAACCACCAAACATTTGTTTACCTTTTTTGTAAATATGTCAAAAACAGCTTTTTTTAAATTGTCAAAATGCCATGAAGAGCTTTTTTTTCAATGTATTCCTTTGCATTTGGAAGATATTTGGAACGCATGCGAACGTCGTTAGGACGCATTTATATAAAATGTGGTGGAAAGGCTCATACAAGCTTGAAATTTTATATGCAAGAATGATCCATTCGCTTCTTATTTTCGATTTGTGACCAAAATGAGCCATTTTTGGCCAGTGTAAATGCCGTATTACTATTGTAATAGTAACTTCCAGTTACTTAGAATGTTCAAGCTTCAATTTTTTCTTAATGCATTACGAACATTTGAAATGTTCGAAAATGTTTGATGGTGCTCATCATGCTCGTTGTTGTGCGATCTGCTTGATGATGTGCACTCTCTTTGCTAATGTGCGACCTGAATGGTGATGATGATATGCGATTTGCTCGATGATCTTGAGTTGCTCGATAAGTTGTTATGAAAAAGCATTTGTTGTTACAATTGTTAATTTTGGCACCGTTTTCGTTGCAACAAATACACATATTTACTCCTAATAGACGCATATTCTATCATTTATTATTAAAAAACACTGTTTTGTCCAACGTTACAAGCATACAAAAGTCTCATAACCGTGATCTAACTTAAATAAAAATCGCTCTTTTTCTCTCGTTCTCAACTTCTTGATTTACATTGAACTTGAAATTTCTCTCGTTCTCAATTTCTTGATTTACATTTAATTCGGAATTTCTCTCCTTATCTTATTTTAACTATTTGTTTTACATTTAAAATAACATTAAATTTAAATTTGACGTGACCAATTCTGTTTTGATCAACGCAACGAGTCACACAAACCCTTATCATCTCAATTAAATTAAAATCAAAATTTCTCTCATTTTCAATTTTTTAATTAACATTGAAAACTCGATAACAAATTCAAATATGACGTGACCATGACTGCCTGTATAACATGGCCGTTAGGGCCGTCTTATGTAGAGTGTCACGGGCACGTCAAAATTGACTTTTCGGGCTATGATAAAAACACATATGTATTATACAGTGTCATATCAGTTTGTCAATTTTGTATTTTTACAATTACTTCTGTACTTTTTGGTTGTGCCTAAAAACTGTAAAGGAAATATATATGTACATACATACAACACTGCTTTGATTAAGTAACGAGGCGCAGGTAGCCAAATTTAAATCGACATTTGTTTTTTACTCTCACTCTCAGTTTTTAAATTTGCGTTGAAAGCCACAACAATTTTGATTTTGACGTGCCCGTGACACTCTATAACTTAGATGGGCCTTAGAGTAACAAACGAATTATGAAATGTGGAAACCCTATGCACGTCTCAATGTTAAAAACCAAAGTAGAGCATAAAAACGACACTTCTTTTCTTCTTCTCCGTATTGCCAATTTGTTAGAAAATTACAAAAAATAAAAACATTAAGTGAATTTATAGCGATTATAAATTCATTGGAAGACGTTGTATGTAATTTAATTTTATTGCAAATGTTTAGTGATAAATATTTAAACGATATTGAGAATATTTTTAATTACTTTTCTTACATTGTTCGTAAAACTCTCATTTTTTCTTTATACTCTTGCTTCACATTTATCACACTTTTTCGCTTTGATGCTTTTTTCCTTCCATTGAAAATTCTCTCCGTACTCTCTTTTTAATTGAATTTTGTATGTATACGACGAGACGTCGAAAAAGGTGTGCTAAAAAGTCACCCTCATTTTACATCCACAACTTAGATTTATCTGCTTCGTTTTTAGTTAAATATAATTATTTTCAATATAATTAAAGCATTAAAATCATTAAATAAGTTTTTCTATAAACCGATTTTAAATAAACATACATATTTATTTCGCAAATAAAATAAAAAAAGGTACCAACTTATAATTAAATATTTCTTTCTCTTTAGTTATCAGTTTCTTTTTAACATTTTTCCGATAATTATGTTGTTAACATAAGGAGAAGAAAGAGAAAATAACACGCTTTGCGCGATAAGTAATGTCCATAGCAATAGTTTTTTTCTCTAAATAAAAACTAAAACAAAAAAAAATTAAATATGACTGGTTTTTTACTTTTCAATGCCAGAAAATAAACTTTTTACTGTTTATAAATTTTAATTTATGGAAACAACAAAAACATTTGATTTTTGCTTTTACTCTCATATTCAACATAAAAGCAGTGGTTTTTTTCTGTTCGCTGTGTGAGCTGCAATGTGTGTTGTTGTGGTGCTTGTCTGTAAGATAATGTTAAACTACTGTAAA